GTATCGTGCGTTAAGTATTGTGATAATATTGTATCGTGGGATGTATGGTGATTCCCACCTCTAATAGACAGTGGGCTGTAAACCTACTTTTGGCACAAATAAACATAACTGTGAAAATGAATGATGCAGAAAGACTGTTGTTATTTTTTTATTTTTTACAGACAGTTAGTTGGCATAAGGACTGAGGATGATTCATAAAGTGGATAAATGCTTGTTTTGTTACAAAGGCTTTGCCACAGTCTCAAAGGCCAAGCAGGGGTAGGCAACTCCAGGCCTCAAGTGCCGGTGTCCTGCAGGTTTTAGATCGCACCCTGGGTCAACACACCTGAATCAAATGATTAGTTCATTACCAGGCCTCTGGAGAACTTCAAGAAATGCTGAGGAGTCATTTAGCCCTTTAAATCAGCTGTGATGGATCATGGATCACCGGCACTCGAGGCCTGGAGTTGCCCACCCCTGGCCTAGAGAATGGTTGGAGACTCCCGGCAACCATCTGTCCTAAGAAAAATGTGTATTGCCCAACCAGTAGGTAAGTGATTTCCAGAGGCTGTTGAGTGTCTTTGAAATCAGTTGCTAAAGGCCCAGTTAAACATCTGTCACACTCAGAGAAAAATGTGTATTCCATGACTGGTTTCTTGAAGTTGCAAACACTTCTCCAAAGTAAAAGTTGCATCTTTTGAAAGTTGTTGGTTTCAACTTTGGAGGTGTACCTTCTGTGTTTCCAGTTCATACTTAGTTGGGGAGTGTTTCAAGACAAGCTGGTGTCTTCCAAACAAATTACAGGTGGCTGCTAGTGACCAAGGCAATAACTGGTTTAGCACCTTGTTGGCAACCTGTTTCACCCTACAGCCAGCAACCTCCAGAACCACTCCGGAGTAGTTTTCCCTTGTGACCGGAAGTTGCCGAGAGGTTGCCAACTTGTTTCTGGGCTTCTGCAACTGTGCAAACATCTAAAAAATGCCATGAAATGTTTGATCTCACTACCACCCAGAGACTACCCAGTGTAATCAAAAACAGCAACATAGGAGATAAACTACTGAAAAAAGTTACCTGACAAATTGTCTCACCTGGCCTGCAGTGTCCAGAATCTCCATGGTGACAGCCTCATCGTCGATATTGGCTTGATGACGATATGTTGATTCTG